AAAAAAAAAAAAAAACAGTCACCTGCTCGACAGACTGAGACAGCCAGGCTTTGAAAGTGTTTGTCTTAATAAATGGCATACAATGAAGGAGATTTTCCAAAGCAGATAAACAGCAGACATAGCTTTCTAGGCCATGTGGGTGGGCAGAACTTAATTATGGCCTTACTTCATCTCTCTGGCAACCCTACGGGAGGCAGGTGCATGGCGCAAGTTTCAGGGGGGCTAGGGAGGAAAACATGGGGCTACCTGGAGTGGGGCAGCTTTCCTGTCGCATTCACAGCACTGGAATCCGCCTGTCTCCAGGGCCTAGAGATCAAGGGTTCAGATTCAGCCCACTGCCTGTCCCTTCTAGCCTGCAACCAGCAGCTTCACCTCCCAGCAAGCTTTCTTCAGTTTCTACAAGCGTCCACGTTGACACCTTCTAGGGGATTCTGACACAGAAGAGTGTGAGAAGCACTACCGGGTGTTACAAAAGCTCGCCGCGTGGAGGGACTGTGCAGCAGCCTTCAGGAAACTCGCCTGGGGTCCTTGCCCACGTACGAACTCTGAGCCTCTTCCCGAACTTTCTGAGCTGGAACATGCGGGTGGGGTGGAGGAATGCGCATTTTTATAGGTTCTGACCAATATGTAAAGACAGGACAGAAGGCTGTGAAGTTAAGAGAACTAGGCTTTCCTTCACTCCGCTGGGGCCCCGGCGCCGTCTGTCCAGCCAGATCGCGCCGTGGCCTAATAATAAATGCATTTACTCCCGGCCCTGTGCGGGACCCAATGTAGACGTCCCCCGAACTCCACCCACAGTTTGAATCAGAGTGTTGGCGATTAGGCGTCCGGGACAGGTGAACGGACACGGAAGCATGGTGACAGATGAGCAGCAGGACGGGCAGAACCAGGGGCACAGCCCGAGAGAGGAATGAAAAGGGGGCGGGGCCTGGACGCTTCGGGTCGCGGGCGGGGCGGGGAGGAGCCGGGAGAGGGGCGGGGCCGGGACGCGGAAGGGGGGTAGGACGTCGACGCGGGACGTGAGGGGGCGGGGCCTGGTCTCGAAAGGTACGGGGCCGCCCCGCGGGAGGGGGTGGGCGGGCCATCAGAGGGGCGGGGCCGGGGCGGGGTCTATCAGGGAGGGGCGGGGTCGGGCCGCAAGAGGAGCATGGTCACGCCATAAGAGGGGCGGTGCCGGGCCGCGGGAGGGGCGGGGTTGGGGTGTGAGAGGGGCGGGACGGCGACGCTTGAGGGGCGGGGCCGGGGCCCCGCGGCTTGGGGACGCGGCCCGCAGCCGGGGGGCGTGGTCTGCTCTCAGCTGACCCTCGCCAATCCGTAGGCTCGAAGCGGCCGCGGTCCCCGCCTCCCGCCGCTCAGGGGAGAGCGCCGCTTTGCTATTGGTTGCGGATGCTCGTTCCGGCCGGGGGCCGGGCCCCGCGCGGTGGCGGGAAAGCTGAGGCTTCCGCGCTTCCCTGGACCTTGAAGGGCTGCGGGAGGCGCCAGCATGGACGCGGCTGAAGTGGAGTTTTTGGCTGAGAAGGAGCTGGTTACCATTATCCCAAACTTCAGCCTGGACAAGATCTACCTCATCGGGGTAAGGGCTGGGCCGGGCATTTGCCTCAGACCCCAGCTCCTGAGAAAGGCCCTAGTGTCGGAGCTTCTGCGGACGCCTGGCCTCCAGTTCGCCGAGTGGTGGGGAGGAGTGCGGGGCGGCGGGGGGGGGGGGGG